CCCCATGCTTGGTCCTCAGAAGAGGACCCTTATCCCTTGTCTGCTGCACTTGAGCCTATGCCTGGCCCAAGGCAAGTGTTCTGTCTGTACCCCTCAGCATATCCTTAAACCCAGTAGGCAAGCTCCCCTTGGACTGGCTGGCCATTACTCCTCCAGCTCCAAGAGGTACAGATACCAAGGGTTGAGGGTTCCAAACTTTGCTCTCCAAGGTTTGATGCATTTTGTTGTGCAGTAGAGTGTTCCTATATCTTAGCTGTCATCTGCCAGACTCCCAGCAACAGATACTGCTCTTACACATGACACTCTTGTCAGGCTTACATCACTCCTGTGCTTCCAGTCATCCTACTAGGCTTCTCTGTCCTTCTCAGGAAAACATAGGGCTGCTTGGATAAGGGTGCCACCTGGAAATACCTTCCTCTGTAATATACAGTAATCAATGTCTAGCTCCTATTCTTCATTTTCTCACCTGATTCCTTCGAAGTCCCTCTTTCTACTCCCTCAGTTGTAGTAAACTTCCTATCTGTTGCTGCTGGCCCTTACTTAGCTCCTCCAAGGGCACATTTCCTGCTCCTCTGATATCAGATGTCACCTTTTCAGTTTTGACCAAAAAGATCTCACCAAAAGAACAAACATGAGAACTGTCATGTTTAGAGCCACATAGTGGGTTTTCTGTTACTCTATCAGAGGAATGGGCTGCTCTTTGGCCTGTGCTCATGGAGAAGATCAGGACGTGCAACTGCATGAGCCATGGGCAGTGAAGAATATGAGCAGAGCATGAGCTTCTAGCTGAAGTTAGTCACTGAGGTTCAGAGCTGTTGGCTACCACAGCACTGTCTGGCAAGCACTGATGTAGGCACCCAAACCCAGGAGTTAGAACCAAGAGAAGGTAGTGTTGTGAAAGCGTTTTCATCTCTGGGGTCCACACATTCGTTGAAAGACGTCTGTTCATCAAAGTAGCTATGGCAGCGTGTTCCCTGCTCCACTCCAAAGACATGCTTCAGTCCTCACTAACTCAGTCTCTTAAGCTTCATAATTAGTACCTCTCACAGTGTTTTGTGGGGGCCAATAAAATCACCACCCAGTTCCTGCCCACCTCCCTGATGCTTTTGTTCCTGTGAAAGCTGGCTAGTTTCCAAGACCTTTGTCCAGCCTCTGCCTCAGCTGCCTCTTTCTTCCTTGTTACAGAAATATTTACCAACACGTGCTCTGCACCAGGCTCTGTTTAGGATCTTGCGTGGACAGTATGGATAGATATTCATGGATCACGTTCAGGTTTTGGAGGTAAAACTCTTATACATTTAGAGGCTCTTTTTTAAAAATGGAAATTGAAAATGATGGATGCAAAATGAAGTACAGGGTCTTAAAAGGGCCTTTGTAAGTGAGAGAACTTGTACATAATTTGCTTCACAGTCAATGCACTTGCTGGAGGGGAGAGCAACATGTGAAAGATGGCAGGAAGCTCTCAGATGATGGTGTACCACTCATTTTCCCACTGCAAGGGGCCAAATACTCCACTTCTAAAGTTTAAAGGGGAGGTTAATTTTGGTTCATGCTTTTCAGTCCACAGTTGGTTGACCCCAAGACAGAGCTGGTGGAAGGGGATGGTGGAGAAAAGCTATTAGCCTCATGGAAACCAGCAAGCAGAGAGACAGAGGAGGTGCTGGAGGGTGGATACCCTCCAAAGTCACATCCCTTAGCGACATGCCTCTTCCTCCCAGGCCCCACCTCCTAGCAGTACATTTAGCTATGAATCCACTGGTGGATGTAGTGCTCTCAGGATCCAATCACCCTCAGAAAGCCCCATGTTTGAGCACATGAAATTTTAGAGGCCATTCTAGATCTGAACTCTAACAGATAAAGAGAGCTATAAGGCCAATAAACAAGGCCTTTGAACAGGAAAAAACTGGGTTGCTCCTTCAGAATGGAAGTGACAGTGATGAATTATACCTAAGGTGTTGTCAGTTTTCCACTGCTATTACTTTTTTTCTTAAATGTATTTAGTACAGGGTTTACAGGGTCTCACTACACAGATCAGACTCTTAATGATCCTCCTGTTTTCAGCCTCCCAAGTGCTGGGATTACAGGCACCATCCCCAGTTTCAGTTACCATCTCAGCATGTCCCAGGGGCAGGGCTGGCACAGTATGCTATGGATGAAACCCCAGTCCCTGTCTGCCTCTCTGTCTCTGTGTCTGTCTGTCTCTCTTGCTCTCTCCTCTCTCTCTCTCTCTCTCTCTCTCTCTCTCTCTCTCTCTCTCTCTCTTCATTGCTATTACTAAATGCTTGAAATAAACAGCTTAAATGAGGAAAGATTTATTTAGGGTCATAATTTCAGAAGTTTAAGTCCATGGTCTTCAGGCTGAAGGTAGAAACACAGTGGCAGAAGGGCCTAGTGGAGGGTGGAGCACAGCTGCTCAGCTCTTAGCACCTGAGAAACAGAACAGGGAAACAGTCCCAAAGGAGGAAGGGCCAGGGACCAGATGTAGTCCTCAATCCTGCTCTCATGGCTCGGCCAGACACACCCAGAACAAGTTTTACTAATCTTCTAGGCATTTATCAAGATAAAAAAAGCTGACAATATAGATTAACCATCAGGGTGGCCAAATAGCTCAGCAGATTAAAGTGCCTGCAAGAAGGAGCAGGGGTCGGGGGTCTGATCCCCAGGCCTGCTGTGCCAGCCCTGCTTCTAGGGCGGGGGTGTGTGCTGAGATGGCAATTGAGACTGTAATCCCAGCTTTTGGAAAGCTATAAACAGGTGGATCACTATGAGTCCATTCCAGTAGTGAGACCCTGAACACCCTGTACACCCTTCCCTAAACAACAACAAAGATAGATAGATAGATAGATAGATAGATAGATAGATAGATAGATAGATAGATTAACCATCACACACTGTGGTTCTCCAGGTCTTGAGCATAACTTACTGGTGCAGTGCCTGCCCAGCACACACAAGTCCAGCATTGCAAAAACAAAAAAACAAAAAACAAACAAACAAAACAACAACAACCAAAAAAAAAAAAAAATAAATCAGAGCACTTTGCAAAGTAAAGACAATTTTTTAAAAATCCCCTTCCTTTGGGCTCTGGGCAGAAACATCACGGCAGAAGGGCCATAATGGCTTGAGGGATCCTCCTTCCCCATGTGACCTAGAGGAGCATCAAGGAGACCCTTATCTATGTAGGACAAACAATGATCCTCCATTCTTCATTTCATTAGGGAAGGGAGGAACTTGTGGTTCTCAGGGCTGTGCCCTTGATGCCCAGTGACGGACAGCTTGTGACCCAAACCTTGCCTTGGGTTAAGCTTCTCTGATATGCTGTCTGACGAATCCACTTCCCAAGCCAGTTCTTTCTTGTGTCCTCTCCTCCTCCCTGTATAGAAGCCCTCTTGTAACAAGCTCTTGCGACTTAGAGGCCTTATCATTGTCCCCTCTCACCATGGCAGTGACCCATCATCTCTTTCACAAGGCCTTTATTTATTTATTTAATACAGGATCTCACCACACAGTTTGCACTCCTAGCGATTCTCCTGTCATAGCCTCCCCAGCTCTGGGATTGCAGGCATGCGCCAGCACACCCTGCTCCAGCCCCCACAAGCCCTTTCTAAGAACTCCTCTCCTTGGGCTTGGTTTTTGTTTGGTAGAGGTCAAAATATTTGAGGCGATATTTAAATAGAACTGTGGCTTAGGGGAGAACTAGGGTTATATGAAGCAGTTTCGCTTTTTAAAATGAATATTTTTAGCCTAAGAGAAAAAGAGAAGGAAGAGCCCCCCTTTGTAGATACATTCTTTTTACTAGAGAAAGGAGTGAAAGGGGCCAGAGAATGGGAGCTGGGTCAGGGTGGAGAAGAGGTCAGTGCACGCCCTGTCCATCACATGGATGGCATTTATTTAGCATCTATTGGATACTAACCACAGTGCCTGGGAGTGAGGCCTCAGCGGTGTACAAAACTGACATGGGCCTCCCTGTGCAGACTGCAGGGAAAGACAGATATTAAAGCAATAGTCATGTAATTATTTTAAAAAGTGGTGTTACTTGGACAATGTCCAGGCCACCAGGAAAGCATGTTACAGGCCCACCTTTTCACATGGAGGGCCCTAAGGAAATCAGTTTTACTAAAAAATACACCTGTGACTGTCCACCAACCTGGTGTAGGTGAGTCAAGCGTCTGGGTTGCAGCAAACAGAGGTGATCCTTGGTGGAAGGGCACAGAAGGCAGGGCTGGGTAGGAAGCCTGGGACCCTGTAGACCCTTCCTCACATTGCAAGGGCCTGAGCGCAATCTCTCAGTCACACCTGAGTCCAGACCCTGCTGAGTCCCCAGAGGCTTTCTGCCTATAACACAGTCCTGCTCTTGGGACAGGTTGATTAGGTGCAGAGCCATGGGAGGGTTCCTCAGCGGTTTCAGTGGATCTAAGTCTCCAAGGGCGTGACCAGACCAGGCCCCGTGCAATCTCGGGGCCAGGAGCGGAGAGCTGAGGTGCACGGAGCACTGAGGGTGCACCGAGCACAACTTCGCGAGGTGCAGATCTCTAGTATTCCTGGGTAAGGCCTCAGGACAGTGTGAGCAACTGATGGGCGAGGGGACGCTGCAGCGGGTTGGCCCGGGGCCGCAGGTTTACGGGAAAGGGTGGTGCCCAGGGGCCCTCGGGTTTCAAGCGTGGCTCAGAGTCCCCGTGGGTGGCGGCGACAGACTTGTGGACGCTACTGAGGCCGCAACCCAGTTTCTCTAGTGTGCGCCTAGGAACAGGTCCACCAGGGAAGGGAGGGTACCGGGTAAGGGGGCGTGTCCGTCCGGCAGGCCGGGGCATGGCTTCAGGGCGTGCCTATCCCAGGGCAGGGGCGTGGCCTAAGGGCATGTCTATCCCAGGGGCTGGGGCGTGGCTTCAGGGCCTGCCTATCCTAGGAGCCAGGGCGTGGCTTAGGGGCGTGGCTTCCGGGCCTGCCTGGCCTAGGGGCCGGGGCGTGGCTTCAGGGCCTGCCTATCCTAGGGGCCGGGGCGTGGCAGAAGCCGCCTCGAGCAGTCCCGGAGTCTTGAGGGACTGCCTGGGGGCGTGTCCTGTAGGCCGACCAGGCGCGGCGTCGGGGGTCGGGGGCGTGTCGGTCGGCCTGTGTCAGTAAGCAGGGACCTCCGGCCTAGGTGGAAACGCGGCGCGCCGCTCTGGACTGTGGGTCCGGACGCTGGAAGTGAGAGGCTCATGGCGCCCCGAGCCGTGCGCGGCGCTCTCCTGGTCTGGGCCCTGGCGCTGTGCTGCCTGAGCGGCGCGGGCCGGCCGTGGAGGTGAGCGGGCGGGGAGGCGAGCGGCCCGGTGTGCGCGGGGCTGGGAAGTGGCCCCGGGACGCCGGCTGCCTGTTTCCCCGCGCCCCGGAGGCCCCCGGCACGCCCCTTTCCCCGGTTGAGGGGTGCGGTTCGGTAGAAGAGGGCACGCCGGGTGTCGTGGGAGATGCCGAGGTTAACTGAGGGAGAGAACATTTTTGAACACCATGTTGTTAACCTTTTTCTTCTCTGTGTAATGATCAAGTTAATAGAAGCGTTCCATCCTTGCAGAGTAGGTGTGGAAAAGGTGGCTTTTACTTTTTAATTAAATACTGCTGCTGTTTTACCCTATACGTGGTATTTCAGTCGTTTCCAGAAAACATACTTTCTGAGCAAGAGCTGTATGTGGTTGGTTATCTTCATATTTGCCAAAGGTTAGAGCCTGGGCGGTAGTGTGGGGTGCTGAGTGAGTGCGAACCCTGATTTTTCTCTTGGTGTGTGGCCGTGGGGATCGCAGAGTTGTTATGGGGAGAGGGCAAGCTGAGTGCCCAGAGTATTTCATACAGTGCGGGGCAGATGATAATGAACCTTAGTTGAAGGCCCGGGGCTGTACTTCCCCAATGCCTTGTAATGCATGCGCTCCTGTAAAAAAAAAAAAAGTCAGTGCTGAGAGTACTTTCTACTTTGAACCCTTTGTATGTTTAAATTTGTGAATGTATATACTTTGTATTGACACGGGGAAAATGATCTCGGTGGATGACTTCCTAATGATATAGGGGAAAAAATGAAACTCCTGACCTGAAAGGTACCTGGAATGAGTTCGTGTTCTCTAAAACCACAGAATAAATTCTAGGAACAAACGGAGGTTAAGAGCAGAATATATTTATTGGTGTAAAGAAAGCTCCTGTCCTAGAGAGGGCCGGGAGCCCCCCCACCCCCAGCAGCTGGTCCCCAGGAAGCTGTCTGTTCCAGGGACTTTTATAGTGTAAAACCGTGCGGTGAGATGGGTCTAAGGTGGTGGAGAACATGGGAACTAACTTAGGTGGGCATGAAGTGGGACAAAACTATGGTCAACCAATGAGATTACAGGCACCATTGCTCAGGTAAAATTGAGCAAAAGTACCAAATGAGGAAGAAAGTCATATAATAAGCTGGCATGAATATCGGACAGGATTCCACCCACCCATTTAGAATATCAATCCGTGATACCCATCTCTAGGGAAGTCTGTGGCTGCATTTGTTTACTTTTGTCTTGAGATCTGGCCCAAAGCTAGAGTGTCTCTTTGTTTCTTCCAAAGTTGCAGTCACCTTGTCTTCCATATTGTCTCCCTGAGGTTCTGGCCCTGTCTGACTGCCTATAATATTTCTATCTAATTTAGCTGGCTACAACAGTATTAGTCCATTTATTTTTAATGGATTTAGTACAGTGTCTACAGAATCTTACTACACAGATTGGATTTGTAGTGATCTTCCTGTTTTTAGCCTCCCAAGCGCTGAAATTACAGGTGCGCACCACCGTGCCTGGTGTGTTGCTGTCTCAGCATGCCCCCAGGGTGGGGCCAGCAGGATACTCCAGGGATGAACCCCGGCCGCAGCACTCTGTCTAAGCAGGTGCTTAATCCACTGAGCCATCTGCCTGGCCCTTAGTCCATTTTTTGTTAGTATAATAAAATACCTGAGGCAGAGTTCTTTTGAAGACTGCGGTATATCTCGCAGTTATGGAGCTTCAAGGGCAAGGCAGTGGCCTTGGTTCTGTCCAAGTGCAGATGTCCTAGGGAGCACTTGTAGGAGAGAGATCACAAGGTCACATTGCCAGACCGGAAGGAAGCTAGACTAGCTCAGACTTACACAACTCTTCTCAAGAGAACTAACCAGCTTCTCAGGGAAAGTACTTTGATCTTTGCAAGGGCAGACTTCAGCTGCCCTAGGGTCCTCCCACAGGACCCATGTCTTAAAGATTCCAATGAGGAATGAAGCTGTGAGGGTGAAGCTGTCACTGGGCTGGGTGTGGGTCTGAGGGTTCCCTCTGAGGATCCTTGAGGGTTCCTTTTAAATTAAGTTTGTAGTTTCCCTAACCCCTCTTATGGAAAAAGAATTTTCAGGTCAGTAAAAAAAAAAAGCATGACAGGGAGTTATTAGAGGTAGATAGATACAGGATGGTGAGAGTGGAATTCTGTAAAATAATCCTAGTCTTAGTCTTGCTAGAGGAAGAGGAAGGCCCACCCATAGTGAGATAATGGCCCTTTCATATGGGAAATCCTAAAAAGGCACTCTGTTCCTAGGGGAAAGAGGACCACTTGAAGGTAAAAAGGGAAAAGACAAATCATTTTGTAGGTGAAAGATTGTCTCCTGGGATTACTGTTTTGGGAGAGGAAAAGTGAAGGGAAGAAAACAATTGGATTTGTGCTCTGAAGGTACAGTTTTTTTAATGTACTATACAATCTTTAAAAATCTCAGTTTTCTTGTCTCTTTTCTACCTAGTTTTTATTTCTTCTGTCCTGCCTCAGAGCCTCTCACATGTGAACCTTTAAGGGATAAAGCACATCCAAACTGCATCAGGCCTCTTGCCTGGAGTTCTGGTTGTGAATAAGCTACAACTTCACAGTTCCTTTGATATTGGAGAACTGTAACTCTCAGCTTGTTATATGTCAGATGTGCCAAGTTTGTGTCTCTGAAATCAAAGACTGATTGCTAAAGAACTATCAAGGTCAAGAGTAGAAAAGGTTTATTGAGAGATGATAGCTCCTGAGAGACAGGAGGGGTACCAAGTGGGTTGCCACCCAGGGCCTTTATCAGGGGTAATTTATGCAGCAAAGTCACAGTGTGGTAACAACATGGCATCATGGGTCAAACCATAATCAACCTATAGGATTATAGCTGATGAACTAATATTGATTCAGGGGGGAAGAGGGTCACATAGCAAGAGTACTGGTCACCCATCTGGGCCACTGATGCCTGTTGGGACTTTCTGGACCAGAGGGTGCTAATTGGAATATAATCCCAAATTGCTGTTTACCTCTTGGGGAGGCTTGTAGGCCTGGCCATTGCATCTTTATCTTGAGGCCTGGTCTTCAGATGCACCTGCAGCCACAGTTCTGAGGTCTTTACTTTTCACTAACTTCCTCGAGAGCCCTATCCCCCTCTGTATATTAATTTTTATCTAAAATAGCTACCAATGGGGCGTGTTTCTCATTCCCTGACTTCCATCACAGAAAAAGAATTTTTAGGACACATCAATAAGAAAGATAAAAAAAAAAAAAAGATAAAGAGGTTTATTAGGCATAATTTTTAAAGTTTCAGAGAAATAGAGTGTGGGCCCTTAAGAGAGGCAGGCTGTAGTCTGGAGCTGAGGACATGTATGTGTTTGGAATGGTAAAAATCTGTGGAATTTGTGAAATCTATAAAAAGTTTTGTCTTTGTTGGTAAGAAAAAGCCAGTGGTCCACACACAGGTAAAAAGATAATTTTACAGATCAAAGGATGGCCCATTTCATGGGGGGAAAAGCAGGGCCCAGTCTTGTTT